TTTATGTTGCCATGGCAACGGGTTTCTGACAGGCATTTTTTGCTAAATTTAGTACTTTTTGTTTCAACAATAGAATTTTATGGGTTTTATGTCAAGTTACTCATGGTTCCTAATATTAATAACATCCCATATAATTCTATGTAAATTTTATCATTGAATATGCATAATTTATGCTAATTTGATGACGTCATTGGCCAAAATCCAAGATGGCGGACCATATCATTAGAACAGGTATATACAGGTTATTTTCATTAAAATTTCATCAATACTTCCATTTCTTTTTCCAAAAAAAAGGTTTAAATGAAGATCTTTAGTATGTTTACAATGTATTTTAGGCCTTATCATGAAAAAAAAAACTATTTTTGAAAATTCAAGAATGATGATCCAAGATGAGGGTAGCTTAAATATGCATGACGTCAGTTTATGACGTCACCGGTGTTGCTATGGGCAACATAAGACTTAGTACACCATAATATTCTGTCATAAACACTTTTGGTAGTTATGTTGAATACCATTTAGTTTTTAGGGAAAAACCTATTTAGATGGTTTTGGCAAATAAAATCACATTAATGACGTCATAATGACGTCATATTCCGTCATAACGACATTAAAATTGTAGATATGATAAATTTTCAATAGTACACCATTCTCTAAGAATTTGGTGGTCATACGACATACCGTTCGTGAGTTCTTAGGGGGGTCAAAAGAGCCCCCCCCCGCCCCGGTCCCCCCATGTCAAAAAAAGCCCGGTCTAGGTAGGGCTAACAGGCTGGTGAAGTATTGGTTAAAATTAACATAACTTTGTCCAGTCTCCATTTGTGGTTTGTTATGGATCAACTCGCCTATATCTGCTTACCCGTGGACGACGGCTTTCTTTCAGGAGAGGGTAGAGTACATGCGAACACACAATACATGTTCTGTACAATTACGTAAAACTTAACATTAACGTCACATACAGTTATTGAAAACAAACAAATGTGTAACATCGCGTGTGCTTTACTTATTCATTACCATGAAAATCCATCTGTGTTGGTAGTAATCACAGTAAAATGTTAACTTTATTACAACATTGTAAAATGTCTTGCAACCCATCTGTTATATCCTCACAACACACGTGCGCGGGGTCACACACACACACACACACACACACACACACACACACACACACACACACACACACGCACACACACACACGCACACACACACACACCAGAAGCACACATATTTTTTTTTAAAGTTGTTTCAGTGACAAATGAATGTCGTAAACCCGCTTGTAATAGTCAAATATATTTTAAAGCAAACACGCCATTTGCATGGCCTTGGCCTTATTTTTTATTGGCAGCTAAGTGTCAAGTACTGCCAACTATTATATTAAAAAATCACTTGTAACATGCTGGTTATTTGTACTATAGATCAACTTCGTTGCCTGTAACTTTCCATTACTCGATGCAGAGAGGGCGACCTTGGCCTCATTTTGATATGGCAGCAAAGTAAATACCAACCTATGTTGACAAAAATGCAACATCTGCAACATCGATGTTAACGTTTTTATCATCACTAGTAACATAACATTCTATTACTTCATTATGCAAAAACGCCATTAGTATGATCTTGGAATCATTTTACTCTGAAAGCTGACGGAGTATCGGCTGTAATGTTGATGGCCAAAACGCAACGTTTGCAACATGAAGGTTGTTTATGTATAGCCTTCTCACTTATTTTCTCCTTATTTCAAACCTGGTAGCTTACTAAGCACCAATTCTCATTTTGATATAATTATTTGCGTTTCTAGTTTATATATTATTCTCTTTGCTTGTAACGTAACATCAACTGATACAGCAGGCACGTCCTTAGCCTCATTTTGAACCGTCATCTGACTGAGTATAAACTGATAGGTTAACACAAATACGACATTTGTGGACATGAAAGTGAAGATTTTTTACAGCCTTCTCGTTTGTAACCTTACCTTAATTGATACAACAAACACGCCATTAGTATAGGAAGGGTCTCATACTAAAAAAGGACAAGGCGTCCAATTGAGAAGATGGGCTTTATGCCACGTGGAGGTGTAGATATTGGCTAATTAGTGCGCTTTTAGCTGCGAGGGCGTATTTCGTTCTGGATTTTGTGAGCTGGTTTAAAGTTTATTTGTTTCTTGTATGTAGGTAGCTAACTAAAAACAGGTGGCCATAATATCTTAAGCTACATGTAAGTTGTACCGGGGCCATTTTCAAATGTGCATAATTTGACATAAATTATACATAGCATATCCTCATCTGCATGATAAACTAAATACGTGCAGGTAAGATTAACCTTTTGTGTTATTTAGATGCCTGTTGTAATTTTTTTAACAAACAAGGTCAATTTTTGCATAATCAATGATAAACCCCTAAACGTGGACAAGCTTTCCAGAGGGATAGAGTCGCCCGACATGATAACGATATTAATAATGATAAAACTTATATTAGCAGACGTAGGAAAATGTATATTGTTGAATCTTGTTCCTAACTGTTGTAATTTGCTATCTCCCCCCCAAAAAGTAATCTTGCATTCCAACAAAGTCTATTTAGTGCCGCAAATGATCCTAATATGACAAAAAAACAACTTAAGGCGATATAAACGCAACTTTAGTTAGATGCCTTTTCATACACTCCTGTCCAAGGGCACGGACCAGTTAAAATATATTTTTGCCTAAACATTGCATGTCTGAATTTGACATTATTTTAGCGGACAAATGATAACTTATGAGAAAGGAACTAAACCGCCCAACGTTAATTGTTGTTAAATACAACTTTATTGCCATCAACACATTTTATCATTACAACATTTTTACTCTTAGAACTTTCAGCTACATTCACCTGAAAAGATCTTATGAAATTCTTTGACTTTTCCTTTGAGTGGATTTAATCCAACTGCCATACCTCTTAGATAAACGTTACAGTCACTGCTCTTCCTTTATAGTAAACATATGCATTTTACCTCCCTATACAGACTTAAACGTGTTATCGCTTAAGATGACTGTTACAGTAGCCTTAAAACCAATCTTAGATCAGTTTAAGAAGTTTTTGTCCTTTTTTTGCCTGTATTTAGTATTATTGGACATGGATAGGTACTAGGTCCTGCGTTATCATTATTATGTCATCACAATTTCAAGGTCAAATATTATGTACGGAAATATGTGGTAAAAGACACAATGTTTCATTATTTGGTTATGTAGGTAATGCTTCATACACTTAAAAATCGTCACTAGTTTTAACACATCTTTTAGGGTTTCAATCGTTTGCTTCTGCAATTTAAATAATATAATTGTTAAAAACACGTTTCCATCATCACATTTGCACGTCGAGTCATCCATTTGTCAATAATGATGTTATATAAGTTGTATTCTAAATGTCACATTTTTTACGATATTGTAAATTATTGTCTCAAAATTTAACTTTATTATCTGTTGACGCCTTGAAGGTCAATTTCTGACACTTTTCATCTTCAACATAAAACATTTCTTATATTTACATAAAACATTATCAGTGAAGTTTCCGGGCCTCTTTAAAAAGTATTCATCAACCTGACAAAGGTAAATATGATAAGGCATAAAGAGGTTTACAAGAGGATAAAAGAGGTTGACAAGAGTAATAGATACATTTTCAAACTTATTTATACAAGGTGACAAGTAATCGTATGGATGACATCAGCGCGCGCATTAATTTTCGCCTGATTTTCGATTAAAAACAAAAAAAAATTTGTTGCCCTCTGACAGTAGTCAACATGCCGGAAATCGGCAAAGATGTCAGTTGCAATGCCAGACGGTGGATGGCAGATAAATGTGAAGAGAGAAGAGAAAACAAGGCTCTAGGATTTAATGTTCTGTCTTTTACTTTGATGCAATGAAGTATTTCATTCCTTGTGATTGTGGCTGTGTATATGTGATTTTTTTCGAGGTTCGGATGGCATCCAGGCTTTTGTAATAGTTGACAGTAAACTTAGCCCAATATGGGTATAATTTCTTTTTTAGCAAGGCATATGATGCAAAGTTTGAAAATGTATGAATCTTGTTGTTCTTTGCCGCCTTGTTTTTTCGCCCTACCGCATTAGATTTGGAGTCTGCAGAGGATGTCATCCATAAAATTTACTTGCTGTAGCCTGATTGTCTTATGTTCCGTTAACCACTAAAGCCCCTATCACAAGTTCATGATGTTTCCCTGGATTTGTTCCCGAACACCAGCTGACCATGTTTTTCTGACGGACAATAGCACGATGACCAACTTTCTATGTGAATCAAAACGGATTTAAGTTAAATGTTAGTCATGGTTCTACTGCTAACTTACACCAGACTACCATTGCTCAACATCCTGACCAACCCCCGCATATTTATCGGCCCCAGAATGGGTAACGACGTGCTCCAAACCAAGATCGTGGGGCGTTTGACTTGTGTTTGGGAGGCCGATTTGTGCCCCCTGTAATCTGGTAGACTTTATTTGCCCAATCCCCGCCCTCACCGTCCGCAGCACAGGCTGTGGACGATCCGTACTTCTTGTATGTGTGGTGGGCATTACGACCCCCTAAACATTGTCCACCGTGTTGTAGAGCAAACACGGTATAACCACGAGAACGTGCGACCCGGTAACACTTTTCGATGGCGTTCCGACGAAAAAGATAGATACCGGTTAAGCGTGGATGAGTCCACTCCAGAATCGGAATAGCGCGGGAGGAATATTTGTCCCTCCAACAACCCAGGCTGGTGAATTTGGGGCGTTCTGTGTGAGAAAGGAGATTTTAATGTGATCTACAGTTAGATCCTTCTTCTACGCTTAAGTCTTAATTTTCATGAAAATAGGTAAGTAAGTAGATCTTCAAGAGGCCTAAATATGTTAAATTTTGGGCTTCCTAGCCGATTTTATAGTAGTGCAACAGAACGTCTGTTTTTTATATCTGGTGATTAGGAACTGGTAGAATTACAAACTTTAGATGATAAATAGCTTTTTGTGTAACGTAGAGGGCACTTAGGACACGATTCTCTTGTCGACTACGCGTAGTGCTGCAACATGCAAAATTGTAAATATAGACCTGGTTGTACAATGCGCTTGCTGAACTGCATGGCAATGCTACACAGATGACATGAAACTTCTTTGTTTAACATAGCCAAACCTTCAGTACATGTTTTAGACCAACTTTCTACCGAATGATATTTTAAAATGAAACCTACCACAGCCTAGAATCTCTGCCCTCATTCCGATCCACCTATGCCAGGACTGAACAACGAAACGCACATAACGGGCATCAATGGGGTACTCCAGTAGGTTGGTCACAGGAGTGTTCGTGTCAGTGTTGCCAACAAAGACCTGGACGGTAATAAGAAAGTTAAGATTGAGTTTTTTTCTGGTGTACTTCCCATAAATGTCGTATAAGCATGACAATGGTACAGTTCCAGTGCACAGTAAACCAGTCATATTCACACTGATAAAAATGACAGGTGGTGATCGATACTTCGATGCATGTAAAACAAATTGTTGTGAATAAAAGAACGTTACTGTTGTTTATAAAATTTTCAGATTGGGTTTGATACTTTAAATCCCTTTCTAAGTTGTATTTTGCATAAACAATGAAGAGAAGTGAGAGAAACTATACATAATTAAGTTACCTTTTCCAATCCATCGCTGTCTGTATAAGTTGTAGAACTAGTCCCATCTGCACTGTAGTGTAGTTTGTAGGATGTAACCCAGCTGTCACCATGGTCCTGGCCCTGAATGATGGTTCCCGTAATGCTCTTCATTCCTCCCAAGTCCACCTACGCATAAAGTGCAAGAGTATAGAATACAAAATAGAATTTGCAAAACAAGTAGCTTTTTTATTTCTTTATTTTATTTTTTTCGCATGGATTTTTGAGCATTGGATGGGAAGCACTTGTCGTGCTTATGTGAATCCGCTGCTCATAAAACATAATATAAATGTAAACATAAAGATGACATAAAGTATAGCATAAACATAAAATGAAAGTGGCTGGCACACCAATACCTATAGCATAACATTAATGAAATTGGTCAAATCTTCCAGAGTGGAGGATAAAGTTAAACACAATATCAAAGATACGGCAGTTGGTAGGGTATGGGAGGGAGGGGCTGCCTGTAAGAAGTACAGTACATAATGTGGCGCCCTTTGCGTTGAGTGGATCGGAAGGAAGTATGTTTTCAAGATCAAGGCAAGATATGGATAACAACATTTTGGTCCTTTCAGTATTATAAAATTTGCAGTGTAATAAATAGTTATCTGGTGTCTCATTTGGATGCCCACATTTGCACTCGGGACTAGTGATACAGTGATGCTGGAATAGGTGGTAGTTCAGCTGGCTAGTTCAACTTTTTTATCATTCAAAGGAGCCAACTATTCAGAAAATGTGGTCCCAATTAAGATTGTTGTTGCTAAGCTCTGATTTAATATACAAATCTGCTAAAGAAAAACCCATCACAAAACCTACCTGCAACCATTCTCCGATGTTGTTCTTTCTGGCTGCCCAGGCGCCTTCACCGGCAGTTCCATATAACCTGGCGCGGGGGGGCCTGTAGTCTCCTTTATAGTACGAGGATGCGGTGATGCTGTCATCACGTATGTCATCAGATGCCATCCCGAATGGGCTACTGCAACCTGATATACATATTTTTGCTAAGCGATATCTAGACACCGCAAACAGACCAAAAAACGTATACATGTATACTATATATATATATTGCTGAATGAAAGTCAACTCATCCCGTTTTGACTAAGTCGTTCATTGTAAACTTCCCATCCAGAAATAATAATAATAATAATACTGGTTTATTTCTTTCATACTATACGGTACAGAGTAGCAGGGTCCCCGCAGGGCCCTGAATTGATCTGCCGCATTACAAATTGTTAAAAACGGTTGGCACAAATATTAAAAGCGATTATTAAAGACAGTTTAAAGCAGCAATTATTAAATGTATTTACAATAGGTGGTGAACATAGTCAAGCGGTTAAACACAGCCATCAGCCATGCAGTACCAAGGAAGCTTCAAAATGACTCAACCCTATAAGCCTGACAAGAACAAAAGGTGAATACTACTGAAAGAATGGTTTTATACGTTGCAAGTTGCCTAAACGCTTGATACCAAATGGAGAGCAAACAGTGTAAACGGCTCAGGCACGAAGCGTCATGGGGATATGAATCATTATGTTAGATGGGGGCTTCTATAACGTCCCTAGAAATCCTTGATTCCATCCAAAAGAAAAATACGCATTATTGGTGCAAATGAACATGATGCCAGGAATGAACCGATTATCCAATCACCAGTACACATACCTCAGGTGACTACAGTTTCCGGACCGGAAAAACATACCCTCACTGTGCCGATCTCCAGAACGCGGAACTTACATACTTACTGCACTTGCTCAGACAACGTTGTCGGCCCGATAACTGACAACAACCTCCAGTCATTCAAACAATTGTACACCGGCATCTTCTTTTAACTACAAATGTATGTAGCTAGAGCTTTCAAGTTGCTGTAAATCAATGATTAGCCAGGAGTGTTACAGGCCAGGATATTTTTTTATCACTTAATAGGAAAAAATGTCTGCCTTTCATTGATTTCATTTCCTGTGTCTGACTCTTTGTACACTCGTCATTCTGCCTGTCAATCTTCTTTAAACTTTGTACTGTCAACATACTGTATCTAGGGACAAGCCCACTGACAATCCAACAAAACCAACACTGAAATACACAAAATTAGAAAATAGGATACTTGTGCTAACCTGGGAAACAGCGGTATGCAAGCCATAAGTACTTCTTGGTATCGAAGAAGGGGTTACCGAATATGCGATTGCTTGCTGTCACAGTGCAGTGCTGTAAGCCCTGACAGGCCTTCCATACAATGGGCAGACTCTTTTCTGCTTTAGATCTGATGTTTAAACCGGGAGAAGGGCAGCCTTTGGGGGTCATCATGCCGTAGATGGCATCATCGATCAGCAGCGTTTCTCCCGCTGGACAAGACAGCTCCTTGCTTTTTCCCTCGCCGACACAGACAGCTCCTGTATCAGTGATGATGCATTATTTTCGTATTAATCTAATCTTCTACAATTGGTTTCTTACGTAACTTATTCTGTCCACCTTGCCGTTTCTTGGCCTTAATATCATGCTTTCTTTAGACAATGATACCGTTTTGTTTTAATTTTATTTCGCTTTTGACTGTTCAAGGCTACATACGCATATACCATACATTCAATACCACACCGATTAATAACATAATAATAAATACAATAACTGTGCTGTATCTACACCGGACTTAGCACAGGCTGTGACAATTGGGAATCCGTTTAATCAATTAAATGACCCAATATTTTAGGCAACTAGTAGATATTATCTATACAATAGATCTCACTCATTCAAATTGTGTTCTAATGAAGGGGGGGTATAATAGGGCAGCAAAAAGCCCTTTTTTACGCTGCGTCTGGCGCTCCTAGTACTTCAGACACTTGACTAGTTGATATAAACAAAACAATTAAAACCTACCGTTTTTGGTTGTTTCAGACTTCCGTGGTTTACTCTGGATCTTGTTTAATTTAATCTCTTTGGTATGACGTGGGAAAACCTAGAAGAAGGTGATTATGAATATTCGATTGGTTACGACTGTTATTGAGGGGTTACATTCGTCTATTCGCATGGTATAGCCAGTAATTTGGTTTAAGGACATGCCGCAGTGAAGCCGCATAGCACTGTAAAAACTTTATTTTACTGTGCACTTGAAAAAGAACATAATATGGAAGTTAACCTGTATGTTTGTGATAATTAAATCTTTTGAATAATTCCTTCTTCGGGAGATTGATTTTTTTCTTATTTCCTTGATTCAAGAAAATAAGAAAACAAGAGTTCCACGATCTCATACCTTCGCCAAATGATGTTAACCCTTGCGGTTCACGAATTGTACAATTTTAACCATTGATTTTGTAAATAAGGGCATCATTTGCATGGATTACATCAGTTGATCATATTCTCCACCCAATGACAGTCTTAAGGCTAGCAATTCCTCGTGAATTATGCGAATGAGTTCATGATTTGAATAAATTATTTCATTGATGTTCACCTTCACTTAAAAATCCACCATGTAAACCCAGGGTCCACGTACAATGAAGTACTCCCCACTGTGGATCTTCTAGCAGCTTGAATAGTGAATTAACCCCCATAAACACATAAACATCCCAGGCTGTCTAGTCTCTAAAAACAATGACAGGGACAGATAAGCATAATACCGGTCGATCAGGTTCAAATATTTTTCCTTACTGGTTTTCAAAGTAACATCACAAAACTATGTAAAATGATCAAGATAACTGTACCTAGTCAAATAATCAAGAAATTACTGTCAGCAGCTTCCAGTCTCTGGGAAATAGACTAAAAACAATTAATTCGGCACATTCGCACAATACTAGACTGGCACAAAAAGGAGCATTCCAGCAATCTAAACCTAGAACCAACGCCATGACTCGGACTTTCGTTCACAGGTGCATTAAAACATACGACACTTTGCCTACTCACATCACATCCTCAAACCCACGAACGTTTAAAGAAAAAATCTGGAATTGGACAAAAACACATAAAAACAAACACACACCAATTAACTCCTGGTGGTAAATATTATGCACAATTTCTTGACCTCTGACCTCTCAGACATCTATCTATTATAAAATTGTTTTTGGCTAATTGTATAGTGTAACATTATTGATTGATGGTTGTATAGTGTAGTATTGTTGTAATGATTGATGTAATAATTGATGTTTAAAATTGCTAATTGTTAAGATAAGTTTTCCTGAAGCATAATAGCAATTGAAGTAAATGTAAATAATAGTTGTATTTTTTTGTTCTATAGGACTCCAGTAGGAATAGTGATGTACATATTACTAATGGAGATTCCTTAATAAACAAACAAACAAACAACCCCGTGTTCAATTTCAAGTTTATAAAAAGCCCTATCAGAAGTTTCTATTAGTAGATATAGTATCTATATTTGTAATTTGAAAATGTCTTCCTTAGAGCTAAATTTGCGTTGACAGTCAGTGTGTCTAGAAACATGTCTTCTAATTGTGTTGTCCATTTGGTAGTCTAAGAAAACAGTATACATGTATACTGTTGTTAGAACCGTACAAGTAACTGCAAGCCAATGTCTGACCAAGGCTCTGGCACTACCAGGCAGAGCTTGACCAGCCAGTGTTGTCATTACATTCTGTATTTGATAAGACTAACTTCTTACAACAGTACTTCAATTCCTTATCTGTTGTTTGTTTATTTTAGAATGTCTTGAAGAGAAACTTGTCTTGGTCACTCACAGTCTTAGCCATGTCTCTGCCCATGTTACCACCACGGTAGTCAGAGGTAGACTGAGATCCGGTAGTTTATGTTAACCGAATTATTTGGGTGATTTTATAGTACAAGCATGGTCTTTAACTTCCAAATGTGGCAAGTATGAAATTCCTAGCTGTTACAGCTATTAAATCATAAACATGTGTCATTAATAATGCAAATTAGGTCCTCACTTACATAACATATATCCTCACGTTTTTCTCGTTCTCAAGTAGATGTCACATATAGCTTCAGGTGTTTTATAGTTCTATTGTCGAACAAAGCAGATGTATATTGATTATGCAAATTAGTTCCTGATTTGCATAATTGTCATCAGATTATGTCAAGCATCACTTTAACTACCTACATACCAAAAATCACGACAATCCGTCAACCGGTTCTTGAGTTATCCTCGTTCGAAAATTTTTCAACAAATGCTCCTGCAGTTCCAGAACAAGCTGCTAGGGGACCCAAAATCTAATCATATTCAGGTCTCATTAAGGCCTACCCACCTATCAAGTTTCATTCTAGTCCATTCACTGCTTCTTGAGTTATCTTGCTTAACCACACACACACAAACACACACACAGACGAATGCTACTGAAAACATAACCTTCTTGGCGAAGATAATAAAACGGGATAAGGAACTACTCGCCTCTGACGCCGTAGTTGTCACAGATGACAAGGCAATCGGCAGTTCTGACAGCACACTTCGCTCGTCTGGCAACACAGAATGTGCATCTAACAGCACAGATGGCACGTCTGACAGCTCAGTTGACACATCTGACGCCTCTGTTGGCACATCTGACAGCACAGTTGGCACGCTCGATAGCACAGTCGGCACGCCTGACAGCACAGTCGGCACGCCTGACAGCACAGTTGGCACCTCGGGTCCAGTCGATGGTGAAGCGATGCTCGTGTTCAGAATTGGCTCGGTTGAAGACGATTTGGCGTACTATGCGATCCATTTCAATAAATGAGAAGACTGAGCTTTTGATCCCAAATGTTGTTTTATATTAAACTAGAAAGGCAGATATTTTCTTGGTAGCAAATATAACATATGATGTGTTAGTCTATATTCTTCTTTAAAAATAGACTGTTTTAGGTGGCGCTCCTGTGGGGGCAGCCGCGGTTTTGTACCTCTCCCCTGCAGGAGCGCTGTTGGTGTCTTCAACCTTTGTTTTTACCAACAATTACAATTCAAGTTTGCACATGTGTTGGTGAAACGCCCATGATAAAGATTTACTAAACAAAAATCATTTCCACATCATCACAGC